ATATATATACAGCGGTATTTTTTATCACAACTTTATCTATATTACATATTTGTTTCTAAAGAGATCAAACAAAAATATACTGAAGTGATAAATTGCTAAAAAATTGTGCTGTGATAAACCTAAATACAACTGACCAATTAGGGAACTCTACGCTGTCTTTTCACTTTTAAAAACTTATCTCTTGATATGTAATCAAGCAAATTTTCTTCCAGAAAGATGCCAGAACATATTGTTTTAAAGAAGGTATCTGTCAACGTAAACAAAAATATGTGCTTTTCAACGACTTACATTCGGTTAAAAGTTCCATTTTTTTCTCTACCAATTAATGACTAATAACTAATGATAATAATAATGATATTAATAATAGTGATAATTAATAATAATAATAATAATAATGAATAGAAATTTTATTTTACTGTAATTATAACCATAATAATAATAATAATAAATAATAATGTAATTATAACTTAGTAATTACTGTAGTTATAATTATAGTCATTACTATTAATTATTATTATTAATAATTAAGATGACAGAATAACTATAATAGAAAAATGAACCGATTGCATAGAAATTAAATGATATTAGCGAGTGCTAAAAAGTAAGTCTCCGGGTGAGTACATTTGGTAAGTCATTGTGAGTTCCTCTAACAATAATGATAATAACAGTGATAGCAAAACTGTGCAAACAGAGTCAACATTCCTGTGTTGATATCTGATAATACTGAAATGAAGTTTGTTGAAATGAGACCGTTTGCTAGAAGGATAGAAATGATAATTATTGTTGTGCCGATACGATAAATTTATGATTATTTTCCAGATAGAGGTGATCGAAAACAAATTCAAAGCAATCACTGACCAATGCTTTAATCAGTTCAACATATGAACGGGAAAACCTGAAATTTCTAATATTGTTACATATAATGTATTGGTGATAATGAACAGAGAAATACGATAATGAAAAAACAAATGATTGTCGGATGTAAGTGAGATAGTAAACTTATGCTTTTTGACCTTTCAAATACCAATGATTGAGATACAATATTTTGCAATTTGAGTTTCAAGAGGAAAGTTATTATCACTTATAACTTTAATCAATTTTGATATCTACAATAATACAGCCAAGAACTGAATCAGTAACTTTGAAGACCTTAAACTTTTCAAATCTCAACTACTCTAATGAAGATAACTATTTCTCCAACTGTAATGAGAGAAAGTTCTGAAATAAAGAAACTAAGTGGTCGAGTGAAATAGGCATATTATCTCGTAAGTTGAATACTTCTAAAATTTTAACAAGTATTACATTTTTTAACAAGAGGTTCCAGAATCCTAATTCTTCGACAGCTTTCGTATATCATCAATCAAAAGATCTATTATCATAGAAGTTTTGTTGTATATTGCGGACTGATCACACTTACACATCTGCTTACCAGTGCCATATGTATCATCGAAGTATCACTGACGACAGCAGTCAGTTTACAGCAATTTCACAAATTTTCTTTCCAACAATATAAAATTGTGAAGTCTTCTCTCCCTTCTTTCTCTCCCTGCTTCTCTCGTTTCTAAAGCCATAACGATCTTTTCTCCTTCGTCTTTCTTTCCATTTACTATCCACGCACATTTGTTAGAGAAGTTTTAAAATTATTGGAAACGGGTTGGCATTCAGTTCTATAATATACAAAGTGGAATGTGTAGAACGAATGGATTAGTCGAAATCTTGTCAATGTCCACTTGCATGCTAGAATGTGTGGTAACGGTAAAACGAACTACAACTACTTTTCTTACCAGTTTAAATATCGGCCATTTCTTTCTCCGCTTCTTCTCCCTCTCTCCCTCGTCCTCTCTCTCTCTCTCTCTCTCTCTCTCTCATTTTCCTATTAAATGTCTTTGCTGTAATTGTCATCATTAACTGCTCAGATTTCTTAAGAGCACCATATCATTTCTCTTTTTTTTAGAGATTTTCTTCATTATGGTTTTACCATCTTTAGAAGACTTTTTTTTCTCATTTGTTGCCGATATATTCTCATACCTTTAATTTTCAACAAAGAAAGAGTGAAGACTGTGGATAGCTCTAAAATACAATGGAATGATTGAGCGATTTCGAGAATTTAGTATTGAGCCAAGCTAATATTTTTTTAAATTACCATTTGGTTACTTCCAGTTTGATTCAGTTTGAATTATTTTAAAAGTTTAATTGTCAATTGCTAATTTGAAATCATTAAGGTTAACTACTGTTGTCACCATTAGTGCTTATCAACTACTATTGCTTAGATTCTTTAACTGAAAAATCCAGAGCTTAGATTGGTATTTCATAGACTTTTTCTGGCAAATCAAATAAAAGTTTATTTTGTTCTCAGATTTTTTTAAAGAAGACGTTCTTAACTTTTTCTTTTGAATGTTGCAGTCATGTGTTATAAAAATTAACTTTTATGAAACTTTTTTGCTATTTCATAATGTTCCAGAAAATCTTATTGCCTCGTTTTCTCTGGTTATAATTTTTCTGAAACTCAATTTTAATTCTTTCTGAGCTATGCATTGTAATAAATTAGTTCTCATCGTGGGCGCTACAATAATATGCTTTGCATCTGTATTCAGTGAGGACGAAGAGAAACTCAGTTGGAAGGAAAATGATGGACTGGAGGTGTGTCACTTAATTTTTATTTCAAAAAATTCTGCACTTCCACTTTTCTGCATTGCATCAGTCTCGATGAACTATATGTTAAAGGGATGATTTTCAGATTAAAATAATAAAACCAATCAAGCCAGAGAAATGTAAGGTGAAAAGCCAACCTGGTGATATCGTTGAACAGTTCTACAAACTTTCTGATACAGATGGACAAACGATAGGATCCAATTTCGGCAAGAAACCGTAAGGTCATCTGGGAAGTGGTAGTTCACCGGGGATACTTTTTTTGCAAAATATTGTTTTACTGAAAAGAATTATGATAAAAGATTTAAGCTATTTAGAAATCGAAAAAAGGTTCACCTGCAATAAACAATTGGTCGTCTTAACCAGTTTGACTAAATCAAGATTGATTGAAACTTTTTGAGCTGTTCAGGGTTGATTAGAGATTTTTCAGAATTCATTCATTCATTCATAGACTTTACTTAAAAACAAACTAGAGGGAAAATAATAGATCTTTCTTTTTCTTTTCTCATGCTTTTTGTTTAGTATCCATTGGTCAACCACGCCATATAACAAATTGTTTCTCCCTGAATGTATTTCTGTTGTTTTATGCTTTTAAGTTCGATCTTTCAATAAGTTTTTTAGATTTAAAAATTTTTTAGATATTCATTTACACTTGGTAAAAATCAAGTTATCAGTGGCATGGATCGTGCTATGACCGGTATGTGTATCGGTGAAAAAAGGAAAGTGGTCATCCCAGCACATCTAGGTTTCGGAGATGATGGTCGAGACAGAGATAATATAAGAGGTGGACAGACACTGTACTACACGATACAGCTTGTGGATCTATTCAGACCGGTACCTGGTGATTCGTGGACTGATGACGATGGTTTGAAAATTGAGGTAGCATTAAATCAGCAGTAAAGTTGAGGTGTTGCAAAATTGATGGTCTGATAGTTTCCTGTAACCAAGAATTAACAAATTATGTTTTTCAACTGAAATTAATTGCAATATTCTTAAGCTATCCTCATAACTAACTGATATATAAAGTGTTCAGTGCTTTCCATCTGATCCAATTTAGAAAAATATCTACTGCCACCATAGAACAAGTTCTTTCACTTCCGTGGATTACTTGTTGAAATATGAAGAGAAATTTAGGGTTTATAAAACGTTAGTCACGTTACTGATGGGAGGTAACTTTGTCACCAAGGAAATATTCGAAGGTTTAAAGGTAACACACAAAATTGATGAGAAAGAATGTCGCAAGGCCGACAAAGGTGATACAATTCATCAGCACTATACACTTCATCTAGAGCATTTCGATGGGACATTTGTCGATTCAAGCTTTAGCCGAAATGCGCCGTTCATTTTCAGACTTGGAAAGGGAGAGGTATTTTTTGTTATGGATTTTTCACAGATATTTCTTTTTCCAGAAAACATGATATTTCGGGTAAAACTACTGGACAATTTTTCCGTTAAAGTTAGCATAAGATTTGTTAAAGAGCAGTCAATTTTAGAATTTTATAAAATGGTCGTTGAGGAATTTAAAAATCGTTAATTATATCTACAGGTGATCGAAGGTATGGATCGAGCAATGAGTGGCATGTGTGAAGGAGAAAGAAGAAAAGTGGTCATTCCATGGAAATTGGGTAGCGTTTTACTTTGATCGTTTTAATCAGATTCTGAATTTCATTTGAGAACAGCAACGTTCACCTTACATTTCTACTTCCTTTTAAGGGTATGGCGCTGAAGGTCGAAAGCCATCGATACCTGGTAAAGCTGACTTGTACTTCGATATCGAACTTCGTAAATTAATTAAGCATGATGAGTTATAAATCACAGAAGAAAAGACTGGCAGTATCGAGATGATGTTAACTATATAAAACGTTTATTTTATACAGTGGATGTTTAATTATTTGAGTATATTATTATCTGTAAGCAAATTTATCCATCCCTGACATTACTTATTTTTTAATTATTGATTATTTACGAAAAAGATGGAAATTTATAAAAGTTTTCCAAAGTATTTTAAAAATCCATCCCAATGAATAAAAAACTGGATAATCATTGTCATTTGTTCAAACAAATTACTTCAGTAATTTATATATACATCATTGATACTGTAAGCAACGCAGGAAGCGCAAAGCTAAGACCAACGTAAATATGATTTGCTGCTAGTTTTACTACTACCACACGTAGAGGATGACAAGTATATGATAAGTCTGTGAATTCTCAGTTCAGCAAAGAGAGAAATGATGGGTGATACCCTCACCGTTCTAAGGAAATGTACGTTTGAGATCACAGTTTTCGTAGTGTCTTGTGTAGGTAACAAAGACGACCGCTTTTTATTTAAGGCATAGTGTGTATGATTACAGATGTCGGAGGGAGACGAGATTGAAAGATGTTTGGGAAGTCTCATATCCCCGCTGCGGGTACTACTTCATATTGAAGAGCCATCTGGGGGTGAGTTTCATTTATAATAGTGGAACATGGAGAGGATTGGTTGAATTTGATAATGATGATTAAATTATTCATTCCGTTTGGTAAATCCATTCCCTTGTGTGATAGAGAAACCAATGATCCCAGCAGATAACTATGTCAAGCTTAGCTTTTCCTATTCAGTGGTTTCCAGCTTCTTAATTCGTGATTTCATGGAAATTTGGTGGTTCTCCTCTAGTATTAACTGTTGGACAGCTTATTACGTTAGACTGTCTTGGCTTCAGACATTGTAAAGGCTGACATTATGAACGAAGAAATTAGAGGCAAAGTTGTGTCTTAAAGTAATTTCCTATTATGTTAGATTGAAACTACCGTAATTTATTGTTTGCATCATTACATTGCAGTATGTGGTGCTATAATCAAAGAAATTAAATTATTTAACAAAAAGCGACTACTCACTGGTTACGTCGACTCCATCGCAGGTGCTATAATCTTTCACAAATCGTAGAAGTGATAAAACTTTTGCAGAGTGACACATGAGGAAGAAACTGTCAGAAGCGATATCTTTCTAATAATAAACTAAAATGCGTCAAGTATTGTACCTTCAATATTATGATCTATAGTCTATCTAGATAAAACTGTAGCGACATATTCTAATAAGGTTTTCATATATTCGTCTCTTCAGAATATTCATGAAATGAAAGTGATACAAAGTGATAAGCACATCAAGTTTTTTGATTCTGATAAAACAAACTTTTTGTTTTTACTTATTATTGCTACAGATCACTTCACTGTGTTTTCCAAGGGCTTTGGTGCGGAATTTTGCATTTTCATATTCATATCATAAATTTCAGCTCGTATTGATATACCTTCGACGGAGATCTGGCGCTGTTTCAATTCTCTCATGCAGCTGCATAATTATGTGCGTAATAACAAGGTTAGTGTAACGTATTTATATCATAACGTCTTCACATGAGATGTAATAAAATTCAGTTTTCATGCTAAAAACAAATATTCGTTTTCAGTGGAATGTAACACACTGGATAAAAGATCTTTTTTTGTTAAAAGGTCTTATTTTCTTCAGTATATTCAACAAGTCTCATTTGATAGCAGGGTTAGTTCTGTTGTGATTAAAATATTAATAAAAGTGCTGTTTCGTTAATTAACTGTTTTTCTTCTGTCTTTAGCTTGCTGAATCTAGTCTGAAGGATACTTTGTCACGGAATTCCTTTGATGATGAGTTTATCAAAGCAGTCATCGACTTTATGGATACTGAGCAGTCTTGTAAACCTACCATAGTGAATGCTATATCTAAATATCCGCCATTTCGATCTCTTCATTGCCGTTTACAGATTACGGTAAGTCGTAATATTATTGCGCTGCCATTTAATTATTGATGTGAAGAAAATTACCACATATAATTTATTGATAGTTACACTCATTTTCGTCTTCCACTGAATCACTGCAAGTACCGAAGTAACTGGAAATTCTTGTTCCCCAAGGAAACATTCCGACGTTACACTAATAATTGTGCTCTTAGTTACATTCAGCGGCATAAGAGCGACGGGTTTCAAGTAACTAAATCGATGAAAGATTTTCGAACTTTTTTGGAAGTAACGTTTTCGGCACGCATTAGAAAAATTGAATCTATTCCTTAAAATGAGTGTAATAAGCTACACATAGCTTTTCAAGAGCGATGGTTTTTTGTAATTTCATTGTTTGAACATAGTACTTAAGTGAAGTTTGCTACTAATGCAAAAAAGATAGATATCATATGTGAAGTTTGAGGTACTCTTTTCTGTTTTTGGACTCAGATATTTGCTTTTTTCGTTAAAGAATCGTGTTTGATTGAGTTTTTCTTTTATCGACGCTATTAAATAGAAACTACTGCAAAGAATTTTTGCTACTTATACTTTAATTGACGAGTTGGGATATAGTTCAGTTGTATTTTCTAATTTTATTATATTATAATGTTGTGAATTCTTATCGGAAGATTCTGGTTCTTAGTGACAATTACATCTTTCATCCTGTCTGCAAATTTCAAAAATAAGTGTGTATTAGTTCAGTTGTATTTTATGACTAATTCAGCTTTCAGTTGAATTATGTTTTAGCATAGACTTTGATTAATTGGATTGGTTTAAGATTATACTGTTGTCACTTTAACTTAACTGATATTAAAGAGAGGATGTTGAAAAATTGAACCGCAATTGTAAATTGAAATATATTGTATGCTTCTAGAAGATTCCGGTCTGCTTTCTACTTGTTTACATTTCTCATAAAAATTAGTATCTGTTTCTTATAATAAAGGCATCAGCGATTTTATTTATTATGTGATAAGAGGCAATATAGTCGTATCTGCATAATTTCATCCTTATTTAGTATGCTGTAGTGTAGTAATATCAATTTTCCTGTGCTTATAATTGAGTTGAGCAATGAAGTTAATCACTATCATCAAAACATCGCAAAATTCAACTAATTGCAAGGTACATTATTACTTCAATAGCAATATGTTGATTGAAGAATTTCTTTATAAAAATAGGATCTTACCTTTCTTCAGTTTACTTTTGAAATATAAGCTGTAAATAAGCCGTTTATTTTGATACTTATGTAGTGGAAAGTATCTGATCAACAGTGAAATAAGCTCAAAAACTCCAGTTAATTGTTTAAAACTTATCTTTTATAGAATAAAAGATAGTTTTATTGCGTTTTTCATAAAACAATTCCAGTGATTTAAAAAAAAAAAAAATTATATGCCACGAAAGGATATAACTCACTTTCCTCATTCCCTTAAAGCTGTTGCATCTTTATCGGCTTCTGTCAGCTCATTCCTATTTTATGCTTTATGTTTTCCTTTTACGTACTGATTTCTATTTTTTAAATGATATCTTTTCCTTCAAATTTATTAGGGTTTGTTACCTTTCTGTATAAATGACTTCATATTCTTGTCATAGTTCTATTTAAATATTTTCTTTATTTAAGAAGTTAATAACTCGAGACGTTATTGCTATTAACGTAAAATTCTTCTTATTCGATATTTGGACAGAATACTTTTCTACTACATCACTATTGATAAGTATTGCATAGCTAGCAACAATCTAACATTAGCGAAACTCGATGCAATTTTAGTTATGTCACAATTCATTCACATTCATATTGCACCAAGTTTTTTTGTCAAAAAATTTGGAAAGGAAGGTTAGTCGGGTAAGAGAAAAGCAACAATTTAACTTACTTAAAAGTTTCTTTAGCTTTTAAACCCATATGAAAAGAGGACACTCACAAGCTTTTGAATATTTAGTTGGAGTTTGAAGAAGGAACTTCATCATTAATTTTCGTCATTTAGAATTAATTTTGTTTACATTGTTATAAAATAATTATATACACCGTCATATGAATTGCTCACTCCAATATTTTTATTCAGTTACCGAATTCTTTCGGCATGAATCTTGTACGAAATTTCGTTTGCGACTGACGACTTTAGTTATCTCATTCATCTCACTTCTGTGGTATAAGTTTCGGTTCTACCGCTCTATGTTCGTTTTTATCACTGGTTAGATAAACTGAATCTTAAACCTTTATCAGACCTAACATCATAGTTTAATACAAAAAGCTATTTTTTCCTTGTATGATTTTGTGGTAGGACTGAAAATCATAAAAGAAAACCAGAGTTAAGATTTTATTGAGGATTTTTTCAACTTGGCAGAAGAGTAACTGAATAGGTAGTCTACTGCTAATTGGACATTTAGTTCTTTTTGAAATCGTATTTTCCTTTTAAACAGTCATAGAATGTAGGGATGAGCAATAAGAACTCAACAGTAATGTTTGGAAGTTCTTCAGATAGCCATTAGTAGATGTTCCGAATTTAAAGTAAAATAGAGCTTCAGTGTTAATTTCAACAGATGTAGTCAAAAAATATTTTTTTCATTCGGTTGGTTATAAATTGCATTTATTCTGCATATTTGATATTAAGAAGTAATAGACAATAAGTCTCTAACCATTATTCCATTTTTTCGCGATATTTTTATTCAAAAATCTATAATACTAATGTTTGTTTTCATAATTTTTTCCTGCTAAAAAGGAGCATAGTAAAATGCATAGATTGGCCGAATGGTTTTGTTGCATTCACCGGATATAATGCTTCAATTTTGGCTTCGTGTTGGTACTGGTGATATTAGCGATGATTGGACAACTGGTATTGATGTTGAGACTTCTGCTTCCATGGAAGATGAAAAAATTTTCTTGGTGGATTCTGGGATGCTAAGCAGATTAATTGAAGAAATTGAAAAAATTATGTCAGTTGCTTGTAAATTAGAACGTTTGCATTTGAAATAAATTATATGTGGCGAATACTGCTGCAGTTGTAACTACTACCATTACAAGCCTGCAGTCATTTAACTGCAGTAAAATAGCTTAAAAGCAATGCAGTACTCAATGCTTTATGATTCTTGTCTTTGGAGGTAAAAAAAAGTTCTTGTATCGGTTAGTGAATTCTGTCAAGCTATCATCACTAACCAAATCACAAATGCTGTGTAAGTGGTGGTTAAATCGATATTCAACGTTGGAATTCATATAGAATTTCGAGATTTGGATGAAATATTTACTAAGCGGACTACATACATTGACAACATGCAGTGGGAATTTTTACGAGATGTCAAAAAACTGGAACAGAAGGTCTGTCATAACAGTGAAACGCTGAAGATCAACATTTACAAGTTTGGAAATTTGATAAATAGTGCTTTTGTTGCAATTGATAAGCTTCTTGCCTAATGCACCACTTTTTATAACATGGATATTAATTTTCCTGAAGTTTATCGAAATTTTGTTGCTTGTACTTTTAATTTACGGAGGCTTTGACTGTTGGAGGGAAGATGAAGCCACTTGTGTTAAATATGCAACTATTCCGAATTTTAAATGATTGCATAGTTGCAAGCAATAAAGGAACTTTAATCTTCATTGGAAATATGCAAATGATCATTTTTATGGTTAATGGAGCAAATCAGAATAATTAATCAAATATTTAAATAATACACCTTTTCATCGGGTCAAGATGTTAAAAAGAATAAGGTATTGTGACCCGTCTATTAGCCGCATGTACATTACCACACTGCATCTATAAATCGTTTTGTTCCAGATTTTCGTGATGCACTATCTTTCAGTCGCTTACTGTTATTAACACACCGTAAATCTTCTAAACTGACATGGAACTATACATTTTTTAATGTACTGTTTTCATAAAATAATCGGTGAACCAGTAGATATCCATGCACAATCTCGATATACTTGAATACCGGAATCGTTTGTCTATCTATCATTACCATTTTCTTAGCTCCTTGCTTCTTTTTTAGATCAATAGTTTTACTTGTAGTAGGGATGTAGTAATGAAAAGAGTTGGCTCTCAGCACCACTTTTTATACGTCGGCCTTGCTGTGAAAGAGTTAGACTACCCTATTGATTTGCAAAGAGGAGGAACAACACCAGCAACGCTAATCGGGGGTAGGAGAGTCTAGGCCTGGATGGAATTATGTAACTTATGCCAAGAAGTAGTGTCTACAAATTTTATCTTCCATTTTGTTAGTCCAAGTTTCTTCAGTTTTTTCCCGTACTCCAATGCTTACGACTTTTTTTTTTTTTTTTTCACAGATTAACGTCTTATACACATATACAGCAATTCTGTATTATTATGCAATGGGAGCGATGTGCTGCATCAGAGTGCTACCAGTCCTATAGTATTAGGACGAATCTCTGATTTTTTGTCTCTTGGTTACTTTTCTTAACTCTCCGTATGAGCTCAGAGCAGCACTACATTTGCTGTATCTAACACATCAACTGGGATCGCTGGACGATGAACTAGAAACATTATATCGTGGAAGATATTAGGAAATAGATTTGTCATGCACTTACTGTTATCACTTGTCACTATCATCGTTATTTAATTACACTTATCGCTTACAGTATTTTAATATGTTTCGACCTATGTCTCTGCAAAAAAACACTCGCACAAGTCTTCCTCATAAATTCTTGCTTCGAAATAAGCTGTTTTTTAAGAGTATATATTTATTCAATTATTCATCAATATATTTCTTTTAAATGAAATAGAAATATACCTCATATTACCCCTGTGGTATGTTGTTCAGGATTGTAGCTTTTCATTTTTTAAACGAATAGAAGTTTTTAGTGCCCTTGAATCTTTGAATGATGACTAATTATTAAGTGGATTCATAATGTAGTTAGAACCATTAGATAATAGCGCTCTTTTAAAGATCTCCCTAGCAGAAGATTTGTAGCCAACTTTCAATTTAGATTATTCTACCTCACTTGATGAGCTGAGTTAGACTAAGATTTTTATATTAAGCAATTTTTGATCCTTTGCGGTTAAATTGCAGAAGTTGCTTACACTTCTAAATCCAAGTTTTTTTTTTTTTCTGAATCCAAAAGCGAAATGTAGGAATTGTTAGTTGAAAAATGAAAAACATTTTTTATAAGCATCTGTAATTTTTTTATAGACATCTGCATTTTTTTTATAAACATGTCCTGTATAGGAAATTCTACTAATGACAATTGAAAGACAGAAAACAATTTCCAAAAAATTGTGCAAATGTGTTTAAAGTCAGTTCCATAAGTCCTTATGCTAGCAGAAGCGTGGTGTATGACTAACTAAATATGAAAATATTCTTATGAATATTTCATATTTGAGTGATTGATTAAAATAACTGCAGGTATTAATTAACCTGTTGCGTTTGTTTTATTGTAAAAATTGAAGATGTAGTGATATCAAGCTGTAGATTTTCATCTTTCTTACTCGTATAGTTATAATATTCAAAACATTCATTGATTTACGGCGGCATTATCGCTTTCTGGTTACTTGTTACTTTTTTTTTGCAATTCATTTTTTATTTTTCTTATTTTGGAAATTATTTTGTAATTCATTTTTAAAATAAATATGCTTTTATATATAGCATTAATTCTTTATTTCAAAAATTTTTATATCCATTTATTTGTTTTATTAAAAAATATTGACATTTTTTTTTTTTTCATTTATTTGTTTGTCAATCGGATTTATTGGAATGCTGATGGAATGTTGGAGCAGGAAAAGTAAGATAGCAAGCTTCTTAGATCAGGAATTCCTCAAGTTCAGAAATTTCGATTTTGAAACATGTATTATGTGTTTTAAGTCAATAATGGCAATAGTGGCAACTGATAATAATGATAATAATTGTCACGGTAAACTATGTTAGCGACGAGTTTTTCTTTTTGCAATGTACCTATCGAGCTTTTGGTCGCTTTCGCACTTTGAGACTAGAAAGATATTTCCTGAGTTTGTCCTTGTGGATGTCTCTCTTTTTTCCTATATTTCTTTCCTTATTGATGTTCAAATACTCATTCATTAACTCTCTATTGAGTTCATTCCTGAAACTGCCAATCGTATGGTTGCAATTATTGGCAGACTCCTAAAATTATGCAAAGAATGCATCATTCATCTCATATTTATTTCTCTTTGGTTCTCATCTCTGTGATAGTTACTTTCATCCGTATGTGTAATAAGTTTTCCTTCATATTGGAATTCATCCTGGAGTTACAAGAGCATAAAGGAAAAAGAACCAAGTTTATTTTATCTCCTGAGATGTGTTATGAATTTCGGAAATGAGTGCTATGATAGAATTGTTTTCATAATCTGGTAAATGCTCTCAAATGCCTGACCAATAATGCTTAGTGTTTTCTCGTTTGTCTTTCTGTTCTTGAGAACAGTTACAGTGATCATCGTGTCTCTTATCTCCTATCTTATTCAGTTGAAATGTTGAACAGTAACAAGGCCCTAAGAAATGCAGTAATCATTATAACTACCCCTAGTATACTTTCCTTCTCAATTTTTCAACAACACTTTACTTGATCATTGTAGCAGATACTTATTGATAAAAGTGATTTCATGGTCATAGCAGATTCAACAAGAGGTATGAATAGGAAGAAATACAAATGGGTTAGGGAATAATGTTACACTGGTTTTCCAAAAATTGAAGAAAGTGTAACGTAGCATAGTGAATTTGTATAAATTGGATGCAAGAGAAGCAATTGAATTTTTCGTTGAATTATTATCACAGATTATTACTTCCTTAACGAAACTAAGCCTCTCTTCTTGGTAACAACAAAACCCTCTTGAAAATATGCATTAATGAATTGAAGTATTCATGACGTCATGTGTGTATAGATGTGATAATGTGTCGACAACAACTTTACGGTAAAGCTTTCAGCAACAATAAATTGATTTTTCTATATGTAACTTGTTGTTGAGGAGCCAAAGTCTGACTTTGCACTATTGCTGGAAAAATTCAACTTTCATCAATTTTTCAAGAGTTTTTTAATTTTAATCTCAATTCAAGCAGACAGGAGAGGCGATGCCTAATGCAGTGAGCAAGGAAAAACTGCGCTGATGACAAATCGGATCATTTTGTCTGAAAGGTTTTGCTATATGCAATTTATTCCCCACCAGTTTGCTATATGAGGTCCCCGGATGGTCGGTTTTTAATGTTCCTGAATCACTCACTGTCCCTGATCATGCAATGATTAGTCATTTCACCATAACTAAATGACTGTATTAGCAATTAGAAGAAGAATTTAAAAGAATATTATAGAAGCGAAGTAAATGCATAATGTCTTGAGGTTATTCACACAGAAATGATTTACGAGATCTCAAAATGACTGGAGTAGATTCACTCTGATACCTTCAGTTATATACGTTTATTTTTCAGACTACTATTCTCTAAATTGTCCACTCTCCTCTAAGTTATTTAATGCTTAATAATTAAATCATTGCTGTTAGTGTTGAAATTTTATTCTGTATATGAAATATTTTCAATCATTATTGTTGACTGCAGAATATTCCTTCCTATCTTATAACTGAATAATTCTGTGAAAATTAAAGCTTTGTTAGCTATGTCTCAACTGATTTCAGCTGCACGGCTTTTAAATAGCGTGAGATTTCATGTTTGCTGTAGAAAAAGTACAGAATCACAACCCACTAGTTGACCCATTCAGTTCATGTCGCGATAATACGCTTTGTATTATTACTTTACTTGCCCTGCTACGATTGTTGTAATCGTAATCCATTGCATTTTTGGGCTATTCCTTTGGCAGTATTTTTGTTTCAATGCACTAATCGGCGATTGCTTCAATTTTTGCGCTTCTGCATTTGCTATGCCCACTTTAAAGAAGATACATAGCAAGGCTATATGTTACATGCAGCAGCTATCAAAAATATAGCTTAAAAGAGGATATAACTAAAGTAAATGCAGTCCTTATAAATCATTTTCATATGACTTCTCGGTCAGAAATTTTGT